TTCGCTTCGGGGCCAAATAGTGGACCTAATAACTATTCTGTATTCGGCCGAATAGTTGCGGTCGGGCCGAATACGAATAGTGGTTACCTTACACCCGTTTATGGAATGGTGGAAAATGAACATATCAAGATTTCCAGCCTTGGGTCTTACAGTCAAGCGTTATCTTTGTGCACCACCAAAAATGAACGTCTGTTTAGTACAGCTGGAAATACCTTCAGTGAGACAAGAAGCTGCCTTAATGCTGACAACATGGAACGATTGGGAAAAAAAGGGGGGGGGGGGGGGGGGGCTTATGCCGCTTTCGCGGATTAACTAAGCTGTCAGTGACAATTTACAAGTTTTGTTACTTTACTTTACTTACTTAGTCGCTCCTCTTCTACCTTGGGGTGTAGAGGTTTGCCAGAGAGATCGCCAGACGTCTCTATCAGCAGTTTTCTTTCTGGCTTTGTTCCATTCCAGTGCTCTTTCAGTTAGGGACTGTCGGATGTTGTCTTCCCAGCGCACCCTGGGTCGTCCCGGAGGTCTGGTTCCCTGGTTCTTAGCCTCCCATGCTTGCCATGGTGGCCGATTTTCTCCCATTCTGCATACATGTCCGAACCATCGTAACTGTGACTGATCTACTCGGGTTAGTAAGGGCTGGGTATCAAGATCTTGACGTATTGTCTGATTGCCGACTTTGTCCTTTTTTGTCACATGGACCACCTTTCTCAGGTATCTCATTTCCGAGGCCTGCAGCTGGCTTCTGTGAGCTGTTGTCATTGCCCATGACTCACACCCATAGGTCAGGACTGGTACATACAAGTTTTGTTACTTGTTTTAAAACTAAGAATACTTTAATTTCTAGTTATTAGTTACCACAGACTGACTGAAGGATGCAGAACATGAAATGTTTTTAAATGTTTTCTATTCTGTACTACATTTTGTGAAGTAAAATTTCAGCGTACATTTGACATTATGGATATTTTTTTAAAAGATTTATTTTATACACGAAAGTGGAAGAATTGGTCTCAGTTTAAATAGTGGGAAGACAGAAGTAATGGTGGTTTCAAAGAAAACGAATTATTCATAAATGTGTAATAAAAGTCAATAGTTTTATTTGGGACAAGTACATAAATTTAAGTATCGGGGCACATGGATAACACCAGATGGAAGATGCATTACTGAAATAAGAAACAGAATAGGACAGGCTAAAACTGCATTTTATAAAATGAAGAACATCTTATGCAATATTTCTTTGTCATTGGAAGTTAGAAAAAGAATTCTTGCTTGCTACATACACCCAGTTTTAAAATATGGCTGTAAGTCCTGGACATTCGGTAGGCAGGCCAAACAATTTCTTGAGGCCTCAGAGATGTGGTTTTACAGAACAATGCTTAAAATACCTTGCACAGAAAAAAAAAATATAGATGGGAGCCCGAAGACAACTACTCACAGACATCAGAAGAAGACAGTCATCATTTTTCGGCCATCTTATAAGATGAGGAAAAATGGAACATGTGGTGACCACTGGAAACATCTGTGGATGGAGGCATAGAGGGAGACAACGAGAGAAGATTCTTGACAGTCTTGTTGCATAGCATGGAGGTGTGTCAGCACACGAACTAATACATACTAATACATACTACAGAAGATCGCAGATTGTAGCGAGGCTTAATCGCCCATGGCAGTCGGCAAAGCACCTGATGATGATAATTTACTATTCGTATTCGTATTCGGCCGAATAGGTCCAGCTATTCGTATTCGGCCGAATAGTGAAAATCACTATTCGGTACAGCCCTAGTTTAAACCCGCTTGCAGCTTCTGTCCCATAGGTTCTTCGTGCTGTTTAGCCTGTGCATCCCCAAAGTGTGTCTTTTTGTGAAAATATTACCTTTCTTAAATCCGTGTTAATAAGGCTGTACCGAATATTCGCTTTGTATTCGCTTCAGGGCCGAATAGTGGACCTGATAACTATTCGGTATTCGGCCGAATACTTGCTGTCGGGCCGAATACGAATAGTGGTTACCGTACACCTGTTTCTGCATACACTGAGATGGACTGAAATAACTCTCTCATCAACGTAATAGTTGATGTTGCCTAAGTCTGTCGTAGCGGGGGAAACTGCGACCCGGTTGCGTGGTACGGAGGCATTTCAGTAGAGGTTCTCAAACTGGGTGCGTATTACAGGGGTGCCGCGGCGAAAATCAATAAAAGTCTGCTTTAAATTGTGACATTATTAAAGAAGGCATAAAGATACCTAAAAGTTAAAATTTAAATTGTCTTTCCTCGCCATTGTCGAAAATAGTTTGTTTCCCCTTGTTTCACACTCAAAGTGTATCCTACTGCATAAAATGACAATTGTCTTTGTATTTATCTCGAGGTGCGACTGATCCTCCATCTGTGTTCATGAAGGTGCAGTGGATAAGTAAGGTTGTGATTACATTTTGGCTGCAATTTTAAAGTGGAAAATGTGGTCTGTACAATAGAAACTGTTAGCCTCGTCAAGTAAGCACTTATATTTAAAGGCAATGCGTTGTGAGTCCTGGACAATCGGCAGGCAGGCCAAACAATTTCTTAAAGCTTCAGAGATGTGGTTTCACAGAACAATATTTAAAATACCTTGGACAGCAAAAAAAAAAAAAAAAAAAGCAACCAAGAGGTTTTGAAAGAGGCGGGAGCCGGAAAACAATCAATCACAGACATTACAAGGAGACAGTCATCATTTTTTGGCACGCCCATCTGTATCTTTATTTCCATCTATATTTATATCTCAAGATGGCCGTGTTTTTTGGCAACTTAATGAGAAGAGGGAGAATGGAACATGTGGTGACCACTGGAAAGATCTGTGGAAGGAGGGATAGAGGAACTAATACATGCTGCAGGAGATCGCAGATTGTGGCTAGGCATAATGACCTACGCCAGTCGGCAAGGTACCTGATGCTGATGATACACTATTCGTATTCGGCCGAATAGTTGGTCCCGCTATTCGTATTCGGCCGAATAGTGAAAATCACTATTCGGTACAGCCATAGTATTAATACAGCATCGACAGATATTAGTTGGAAGCCAGAAAGGGGAAACTGGACAAGAGAACAGTAAGTTTGTTTCGATAAGGGTATCAATGTCGTATCTTTTAGAAAGCAATGACAAACTGCTGATGGATGGATTCATGGTTCAATTGAATGATGGATGGATGATGGTGGGTGGGTGTATGAACTGATCTAGACACAGAGCCCGGCTCTCTAGCGTAGTTGGCTAAACCGGATTGCGCGGAGACCAGGTGACGAACTCCTTGTGGTCCGGGTTTAATCCCGGGGGTAGGCAGGAAAGCAACATTTTCTCCCAGATTTACGGTATTTACAAAGAAATCAAGGCCGAAAGGTTGCGATATCCAGAATACCAAGCCTAAGGGTTAACTACTCATGGCTTCTGGATACTAAAACAAACATCTAGACACAGACAGACAGGCAGACTGACTGACACACCAACAGAGAGCAGACAAACAGACCGAGTGAGGAGGTGGGATGAATTATTCAAGCGTTAGTGCAAAGTACAAGAACAACACAGAAATGCTATTGTCAGTGTCGCTCAATTTATTCATAGAAATATTCACACCCTGGCATAATCACACAAATACACGTGAACATGAATAATTGAGTAATCAGAAGAAAAAAAGTCGGCCAAGAGCGTTGTGTGTGTGTGTGTGTGTGTGTGTGTGTGTGTGTGTGTGTGTGTGCAATCATACATGGATTGTTACTGGAAGTAATTACACACTAGTTACTCGGTCAGTGAGTCTGGTGTTCCGAATGCCCCACTCCCGCCCCCTTTCTCACCCTTCTTGCAAAAAAGAATGATTCATTTTTCGTTTGTTTGGCTGGGGAGGGGGGGATGCCCAAGTTTAACCCTGCTGGAGACATCGTTTATTATAACTATGGTCTGGTTTTATGTGCGCCAAATTAGTGACTTGAATAGTTTGTTGTGCCAGTAGTTGAGGCTTATTGTCCCTAACTGTGTGAGATATCATCTTTGAACATGTTTGGGTTCCTCTGTGTGGTCCTGGTGGGGGATTCCGAAGACCCATCTTCTTGGTGGTACCTCCTGTGTCTTGGATATGACTGACAAAGACTTTTTGTCGCACATGACATGTAACTGTAAAAAACAGGACTTAAATGAACCGCATTTAACACATGAAATTTAACTGAACCTCGTGTAGCATATAATTCTTAAATGAATCACATTGAACAGATGAAACCTAAATTATCCTCATTTACATACGAAACCTAAATGAACATTTTGCAGTGAATAATACTTAAATGAACATCATTTAACATATCAAACCTTAATGAACCACTCGTAGCAAATGATACCTGTACAAATCTAACCCTACACACGTACAACGAGAACATGTAAGAATGCATACATTTAAACAAGTTACCGGAAAAAAAAAAAAAAATAAAACGGTATTCAGTAAAGTACGTTAGTGGAAATGTTTAAGTACCATTTATTAGATGGCGCTAGATTCTGTAACATCTGTTTAGCGACAAAATAGACAAAATTACAGTAGAATTGGAGCGTTTACAAACTTGAAATCTAACTAAAAGAAATTTTCAGTAAAGATTGCCTCAGGACGTGAGCTTGTACGCCGACTTTGAAAAGAATGGCTCTTAACAAAAACTAGTCTCTTCAAAGCCTCTGTCAGTGGAGAAAGACTACGATCTGAAAACACCAGAATGGATTCCTTGTGTTACCATGGAAAGTGACCGGAACTTTTGTGGTCTTCCGTGTAAGTGTGCTCTAAGGATGTACGGCTGACGGGAGTTCTCGTATTTGTACCGGTTTGATTCTCATCCGTGAGATGTTAATCGTACAGACTGCTATTCTGGAGTTGGAAAACATTGAAAAGGGCAATAAAGTGTACAATAGGTTTGAATATGATGATTTTATCAATTCTGGTAAATTAAAATTTAAGGTGTGTATATTCCTGACAGAACCACTACTTTCTTGGACCAGCCTCTGCTTCGTTAAGAAGCAGGGGCCAAGTTGGCAGAGTTAACACCTGCAGCCTTGGGGGCTGCAGTCGTAGCGTTTGATGCTGGGGCAGTTGAGGTCTCTTGACGGTTTCTTGGTGTTTCAGCTGCGGAGGAGTCTGAGCTGTTCGAATTGTTGACGTCTGAATTCGTGGCATTTGAAGAAGAACCTTCTCCGGCGTATGCAGACTTGGCGCCAAGGAAGTCTCCAGTGCACGTGCACTGTTTCTTGTCGACTACGATCTGGCCGCAACTGACTTCCTTTGCTCGGCACATGCCATTTCTATAGCCCATTCTCTTGCAAAATTGCCCGCAGGTAGTCCTGAAGTACAGAGCAAATATTGATCATTATTCATCACAAACCAAGAAACTCTAGACAGTATGATAACCAAGAGAAGATGGATATGGCTTGGCCACGATATGAGAATGAATCCTGATATACCCGCCAAAACAGCTCTCACATGGACACCAGAGGGAAAGAGAAAACAGGGGCGACCAAAAACAACATGGAGACGAACGATGAAAAGTGACCTGAGTGCGGCATCTTTGACATGGAAAACTGCACTGAAGATTGCACAGGACAGGAAAGCATGGAAAGTCCTCACTGAAGCCTCATGTGCCACTGGGCACAGCGAGAACCGATGATGATGATGATTCATCATAAATTAAACAACTTCAGACCTAATTAATATTCTTCTTCTTCTTGTTCTTCTTCTTCGTCGTCGTCGTCCAGAAAAGGGCGGCTGAAAGTTTATCTTGTAGTCTACATCTGAGCTTCCCTATCATCTCCTCTTGATCCATCACATCCGATTTCAGCAAATCTTTCGTTTTGGTAATCTTGTAATCTGGTAATTTTAGTTTCAGCTTCATAGCAAACGAGTCACTCCATAGTTGCTCCGCTCCTGTGCCAACGAAAAACACATAATGTTTATCACAGTCCCTTGTGGAAAGACTGACAAACTGCAGTCTCAGCTAATTTAGCATACACTCGCATTAGAAGTATACGGTAGACATCCAAAGTGCTAACACAAACAGTCCGACATTAGAAATGCAGTTCATCATTGATGGTAGCAGCAGTCGCCAAAAGATCAGCAGTTGCACACGCGATCAATTTTAATCAAATAATGGTCCACCAATATAAATCTTTCGTTCACTTATTCATTGTCCTTTTGTCCGGCCTAAAATGGATACTCAGATGGCTGCCCTGGTGAAGTCAAGCCGGCCGGCGTAATGCTGACCACATTACCCACCTAGTGCCGATTGGTCTGTAAAAATATGGGATGCTCTTCCCATATGCCTGATGGGCTTTTAGGTGGGAAAAGGGATCTTTACTTTACTTATTTACTATTGTACCGATGTGCAATCACATCTTTAAATATTCATCTGCCGTATCCATCACCATGGCTGTATTCTTGGTTCCCGAAAACAGACCACAGACCCCACACTTGGTTTCCAAAACTAGGACACCAGACCCCACACTTGGTTTCCAAAACTAGGACCCCAGACCCCACACTTGGTTTCCAATACTAGGACCCCAGACCACACACTTGGTTTCCAAAACTAGGACCCTAGACCCCACACTTTGTCTCCAAAACTAGGACCACAGACCCCACACTTTGTCTCCATAACTAGGACCACCTGGAACTGACCAACTCGAATTAGGGAGAACCTTGGCCGCAAAATCCTAAACACAACGAACACGTCTTCGGGAGATTAGGCTTGGATTGCGTGATTCTCGTACCTCCATGCAGAACAATACAGAAAAAAAAAAGAAGAAAAAAAAAATGTCGTCTGGAAAGAAGGGATGTGCCAGCTAAGGAAAACTGCAGATTCTGCTGTTGGGATGTTAAGTGTTCCTAGGCTCATCTCTTTCCAGAGAACTACGCTAATTTTAGTCTGAGTGAGAAGCACGGTTCTTTATTAATATCCTACCTAAGATAACGTCACAAGGCAGTCCAACATTTTAGAGGGCGGTAAGAATGGGTTTCCTGCTTTCTGATGCTTTTAACGATCCAGAAACATCTACAACTGGCCCTAACCCCACCCCACCTACGTCCTACGAGAGAGTGCAGCCTATCTACCACCCCCTGAAATACTAGACTGTCCTGAGACATGTGGATTTTCCCTGTTTGGTTTAGGATATTAATAAAGCACAAGAAGCACGACTGTAAGAGTGTGAAGAAGCCACAGTATCCATCCATCTATTTATATATAAAAAAAAAAAAAAAAAACAATAAAAAATTGACCACGTTCAACATACTGCGAACAGCCTCGGTATAACTGTGGTCTGGTTTCTTTGTGCCAATTACGTTGGCTAAAATAATGTCAGTTGCACCAAAGCGAATGGTTTGGACCAATACTCTAGTACCTAGTAAAGGTTGTTGCGGAAGGGGCTGGTATGCAGTAAATGTCCTGATATGTGGGCTTTAGAGGTAGCCTTTAAAGTGCGACAGAAAGTAAGCATATCATAACAATGCATTGTACTAAGGTTGTCAAGAATTTTAAGCACTTTGACCTGACGATGCAGACAGATACGAGCACGTCATAATGACAGATCAAAGATGGCCGCCACACTTCTGACATGCACCAATGAGATGCGTTGTTCTGTTATCCGTTTATCTTTAGAACTAAAGTTAAAGGTAAAGTTAGGAGATGTGAACCAGCGTCATTGCACATGGTTATAAACCATATGTGCTCTGCCAACAATACGGACAGCTGATCAGAAACTGTCCGCCTGTATCGCCATCTGTACGCAACTCCGTAGCTACAGCGACGTTCTTCTATTTACCCCTTCTATTATTACATCATTACCTAGAGGCTGGGTAAACGTGGGAACCGCCGGTTGCGAACACCGGCCGTGGGCTGCAGCGAGTCGCAGCTGGATTTGAAAGCGACTCTCCTATCGACTGCGCTAACGCGGTCCCGCCTTTAGAGTGTTTTTATCGAATGAAGGCTCAGCATGGTCATGCATATCTGTATTTATCCGAGACACACAATTGCTGATATAGTCAACTTATTTCAGGCGAACGAAAGAAAAAGAAGAATGAGAAGGAGAATACAAATAACACAAGAGGAACAGACGATAACTGACCTGTCACAAACAAATCTCAAATGTGGACAGGGGTCTGCTGCATTCGGTAGATTGTTGATGTGTCCTGGTCCAAACCGGTTGGGTACATTGAAGTTACCCTGGCGAACCTGGTTGGAACTAACTGCAGCGCCTTCAGTAGCAAGGCATAGATAGGCCAGGCATGCAGCCACAGAAATCACCATCTTCAGCATTGTTGAAGTTCTGACGACGTATTGCAGGCGGATAAATCTGCAAAACAATATGTTCAACATTATTGACATTTGTCTATTGCTTGTCGGAACAAGTAACGGTAATTTTTTCGACACCCCGCCTATATACACACTAAGTTACTTCTGATTGGTAGTTCCTGAGTCTTGTAACCTTTGAACAAGGTTATGAGGGTGCCCCGCAATGCCGTTGATATCGCGTGTTATATATTTCAGCACGCCAGCGCTTTTAACGCTTCAGAAACATGGAGAAACTGATTTTAACACACCCCCCCCCCCCCTTTTTCCCATAGAGAGTTCTGCAACCTATGTCACAGGCATTCTCTTTCTCGGAATGAAAATGTATAAATACAAGACATCACAGAAACCAAACAACAGAGCGTGACACACATGTAAAACCTTCAG